TCTGGTATATGTGATGTAAATGAATTGTGAGAGGTTTTATTTGTTTCAATTAAAACACTGAGAATTATACAAGAGGAAATAATGCCTGTGACTTATTAATTACCTGACCGATACTAAATAATCGAAGGAATCTGGCCACAGATTAACATGAGATCCACATAATGTTCATCTCAAGACAAACCATAAGTGGGTTTTGTTCATTTGAAACTGACCAAAAACATAAAACCTTCTCAAGACAAGCATCTGGTTGGACTTTATTCCAAAAGCTCTACTCTACCTACCTGTTCTCCTTCAAGTCATTAAAGTTCTGACCTACAAGAGGAGGACTGTTAGCTAAGTCAGCATGGGAGGCCGGCAATGCTATCCAACAGCAGCTCATATCAGTGTTGCAACATTACAGAAAGCCTTCCACAAAATGGGAGGCAGCATGGATATCTGCAAGAGGCACACTCGCTTTGCAATATGCTCCAGGAATCTTAGTGCTACACAAGACAGACTTAACTTTCGGCAAAGCCAGAGTAGTTCTCCAAAATCTTAACATATTCCTCACCCTACTGGCTAAGGTCATTCTGAAATAGTATGACTCAGCCAGCTGTTACATTACAATATCTATATTACAAAGATGGTTCTCACCTCTAGGATGTTAGTCAAACAGCATTCTGATTACAAACTCAAATAATAATACAGGGAGAGAGCACCAGGTATCCATAAAAAATTGTTTACAGTATCCATAAAAAATGTTTATTATATCCCATGTTCAAAGGCTATTAAATCATGTTACTTACCCATATCTTCAGAAAAATCACTTCTACTGTCGTGGTAAACAACCTGCTTCCGTATTTATACTGATCTGGCCCTCTAGCAACTTCAGCGTGAAATTACAGCTAATTTGCCTACAACCATCAGGTGGTCATAATAATCTGGCCACTCAGTGTATAGTTATTCGAATTATTTCTAGAGAAAGCCTATCCTTTGGGCCAATGTTTCTAGGGCGTTTTTTATTACTAAATAGCTCAAAAGTACCTTTCATGCTCAGCAGGCACATAATAGGCAAAGAACTGATACGGTGAAAAGCCACCCTAAGAATATAAATAAAAAATTCTATAAAATTTGTCTT